TCCCCGACACGATTGTGTGTGTGTGTGCGTGCGTGTGTGTGTGTGCGCACGTGCGCGCGCACCAGTCTTGGGGCTCTGAACTCAGAGCGTGGGCACTGTCCCTGAGCTCTTGTGCTCAAGGCTAGCACTCTACCACTTGAGCCACAACTCCACTTCCAGCTTCTGCTTTCTTCTTCTTCTCTTCCTCCTCCTCCTCTTCCTCTTCTTCCTCCTCCTCCTCCTCCTTCTCCTCCTGCTCTTCTTCTTCTTCTTCTTCTCCTTTCCTTCCTCCTCCTCCTCCTCCTCTTCCTCCTCCTCCTTCTTTTTCTTCTTCATAGATAGTTGGTACCAAGCTAGCTTGGAACTGTGGTCCTCACATCTCAACCTCTTGAGTGCCTAGGATTATAGGTGTGAGCCACCAGTGCCTGTTGTTTTAAACTACTGCATTGTCCACATTACTGAACTATCTACATTACTTACTAATAGAATAATAGAAGAATCACTGATGATGAAATCCAAAAAAAGAAGCATAAAAATAATAATAGCTTTGCCAATATGCCTTGAATTGTAGTATCCCTGAATTGTATTTATGAGTACAAAGTGTTCAAGTGCTGGGGCTTTGAAACTTGATCCCCATATCTCAGACTTGTGAGAAGTCTCCTCCCCCAAGCGCTCTCTCTCTTTCCCTCTCACTCTCTATCTCTGTCTCTCTCTCGCTCAACAGGGACCTGTACTTAGTAGGCAGTAGACACTTATCTTTGAGCCACACCTCTAATCCTATTCTGCTTTTGGTATTTTTCCAATAGGGTCTTGCATCTTTTGTCTAGGGCCAGCCTTAGACCACGATCCCTCTTACTTACACTTTCCACATAGCTGGGATAACAGGCATGCGCCACCATGCCCAGCTTTATTGACTGAGGTGAGGGAGGTCTCACTAACTTTTTGCCCAGGCTGACATTGAACTGTGATCCTCCTTTTGCCTCCCAAAGAGCTGACATTACCATATGTGCCACGGCTCCCAGTGTCCTGCTGAGACCTCATGATGGAATTTGTGAAAAGAAATATAGTGGGGCTGGAAATGCAGCTTAGTGATAGAGCGCTTGCCTAGCATATGTGAGGCCCTGGGTTTGATTCATAAAATTAATAAATGAAAAATAGCCACTAAAATTATTTTAAAAAAGAAATATAGTGGATCCTTACAGACTCAGGGGCCTGGGTGAGTCTTACTTGTATTCCCCCAAGAAAATTCAGTTCCAGAAGCACTAGAGAGATCTTACTATAGCTCAACTTGAAGCCCTAGGCCCCTGAGAGTTATAGGTGAACGCATGTCAAAGCGTTTTTATGTTTCTAGTCCTGCAGCACAGGTCCCCTGGGAGACTGGGAACTAGCACGTTCTGCTCATTTCTATTTGAGGAAGAGGGTCATGGCTGATAAATATTCTGCCCACACAGGTCTTTAAGTTGCATTTAAATGGTTTACCTCCCTTGTTTATGTGAGGCAAACAGTTCTCACGTCACTGAAGAAAAAAAAGTCAAACCACCATCTCATATAACAAGGGGGAAATATTTTCCTTTCTCCTTTTATTAAAAAAAAAGCCACAAACATAACAACAAATAATGAAAGAAAAATAGACGAAGCCATTCCATTCCACGGAGGAGGAGCAGAAATGGGCGCGGAGGCTGCGTGGCTTGGTGCTGTTTTCCCTAGAACTTTCTCACAGGATCAAGAAGGTGGACATTGAGGCAGAGCGTGTATCTCTGCTGGCATGCTGTATCCCTCACTGAGTCCTGGAGCCCCCAGGAACCCCTGGGATCCCCTCAACTCCTTCTCCAGCCTCCTGAGCAGCAGAACTTTTAATTTGTGCATGACAAGGCCATGACAGTCAGAGGGACTCGCATGCGTGTTTGTGTTTATCTGGTTGCCAAATGCTTGGTCTCTCTTTCACGCATTTCACACTGAGGTTACCTTGGGTGCCAAGTGACTGACTCTTCACACTGCATTGCTATGTGACCATTCACAAGACAACCTGAGTCTACTGCAGACAACACAAGAGGAGGCATTCCTAAGAAGGGGCTTCACTCATTTCTGACCATGTTTTTGAGAATGTAGGAGGGGAACGAAACTTCTGAGCAATGATATTTTTCGTAGTAATATTGATCATCACATAGGGATCTTTAAAAACACACACTTGGAGCAGGGTACCAGTGGCTCATGCTTATAAGCCTCGCTACTCAGGACACTGAGATATGAGGTGGTTCAATGCCAGCCCGGGCAGGAAAGCCCATGAGACTCTCATCTCCAATTAACAAGCAAAGAGCTGGAAATGGAGCTGTGGTTCAAATGGTAGAGAACTAGCCTTGAGTGAAAAAGTCAAGCAAGAGTGCAGAGCCCTGAGGTCAAACTCCAATACAGACAGACAGACAGACAGACAGACAGAGAGGGAGGGAAAGAAAGAAAGAAAGAAAGAAAGAAAGAAAGAAAGAAAGAAAGAAAGAAAGAAAGAAAGAAAGAAAGAAAGAAAGAAAGAGAGAGAGAGAGAGAGAGAAAGAGAGAAAGAGAGAGAGAGAAAGAGAGAAAGAAAGAAAGAGAAGGAAAGAAAGAAAGAAAGATGGAGGGAAAGAAGGAAGGAAAGACAGGAGGAAAGACAGGAGAAAAGAGAAAGAACAAAGGAGAAAAGGAAGGAAAGAAGAAAGAAAGGAGAAAAGAGAGAGAAAGAGAAAGAAGGAAAGAGAAAGAAAGGAGGAAGGAAGGAAGGAAGGAAGGAAGGAAGGAAGGAAGGAAGGAAGGAAGGAAGGAAGGAAGGAAGTCAAGTATAGTTCTGAATTTTTAGGGGTATGAGTTAAAAAATGCAAATTCCCTGCCTTCAATTCCTGCATTTTGGACATAATAGTAGGGCTAATGTGCAGTCCTAAAATCTGGTGTAATTGAAATCCTGGGTGATTCTGGTATTGCTGGTTTACTTTAGGAAGTGTCTGGCCCGTGATTGGTTTCAGCATCTTGCATCAGGAGCTTGTCCTAAGCAATGTGGACAGATGCAAAATTTCTATCTGGGAGCCCTTTGCCTCTAACTGCAACTCACCTCTGTCATCAACTCATTTCCTCTCCTCCCAGAGACTTCAGGTGAACTCACTGCTCTGCTTGGAGCCCATCGCCAAGCTCTCCAAAGCTCCTTCCCTTCCTTTCTTCCTGTCTTCTGCACCAGGATAAACATAGGTGTTAGCATGTGCTGTGCCTACTACCAGAGTTCGATGTCCAGTGAGTGATCCTGTAGTGAGCTGTTCTGATTGCTAATACTTCAGTGAGTGCATCTGTCTAGAATAAAGTTCATTTCAGTAGAGAGAAATCTCCAGAAGTTTGAGACCCCTGCAGTACAGTAAGGAGGATCTTTTGTTTTTCCTGCCTCTGCTCTTGGCAGACCTTGCCAAATCAGCCCTGCTCCTTAGGAATGTGCAGGATTTCCTTTGCAGATTTAGGCCCAAGTGAAAGGCAACAGATTGTCACCGAACACAACCAAAGGTTCCAATTCTTGTCCTCCAGCTTCAATGCTTGGGGTGGGGCTGAGCAGCCCTGAGAACAAAACTAGCTGCCATGACTGAAATGCAATTAACCTTCTTATGAGCTACCCAGCATGAGGGTGTGTGGAGAGAGGCCTCTTCTAAAAGGTAAGCTGGACACTGGGTAGCTCACACCTGTAATCCTGGCTACCCGGCAGGCTGAGATCTGAGGATTGTGGTTTGAAGTGAGTCTGGGCAGGAAAATCCATGAGACTTTCATTTCCAATTGCCCACCAAAAAACAGAAGTGGCTCAGGTGGTAGAGAGCCAGCTATGAGCAAAAAAGCAAAGGAACAGTGCCCAGGCTCTGAGTTCAAGCCCTAGGAGCTTGCAAACCCCTCCTTACACACACCATAAAGTTTTCCTCTCAGCTAGTTTCACGTACACCATGTATAGCATTATATATACTTACCATGCTATACATTACACCCCTAGAATTTACTCATCTTAGAGCTGAAAGTTTACACAGCAGCCCCCCTCCCTGTTATTTGTAGATATATTACTTGTGGTTTTGATCAAGTGTGGTTAATAATAATAGTTTTTTTTTTAATCAAAAGAAATTTCAAAAACAAAACCTTTTAAATTCCTGCACATGCATCTCACAGCTCCGTGGACAGGGAGAGAGTCCATCCTTCGTGGTCTCTGGGAGGTTTTCCTGTCTGACTTTTGTGGAAAATCTGCCTTCTTGTAGCAAATGGTTCCCCAAAGCAAGGTCAAAGTGAATGTGTTTACCTGATAACGTGAAACGTTGAGATTTGTGGACAGGCGCCCCGTCTTCAGGGAGTTTGGGTGTAGTTGTGGGAAATGAACCCAGTGTTCACATCCTGAGCATGCGCGGTGTCTCCTCACTGGCCTCCTTGGAACCACGCACTGGCAGACACCAATGGTCTGCTGTACTTTTTGATCACAATCTCCCTTCTCTTACAACCCCCCCCCTCCCCATTCCAGTACATGGAAACACCCATATGCTCTGGTTCTATACATCTCTTTCTTCTAGATTCTATATGTAAGCGATATTATGCAGTATTTGTCTTTGACTTACACTTAAGTTTTTCCCATCTTGTGGCGTGTGGCAGGATGTCCTCTTTCTTTTTAAGGTTGAGTAATATTTCATTATAGATACCACAGTTCTTTTATCCATTCATCTGTTGATAGCCCCTTTGTTTCCACATCTTGGCTGTTGTAAATAATATAATGAACCTGGGAAGGCAGATGCCCTTCAAAATATGCTTTTTTTCCCCCCAAACCCTTAAGATATTTCCCAGACACAAGCATATGACAGCTGATAGTTGTTTTTCTTTTTCCTTTTAGCACAAGGGATTATGAAATCTAGGGCTTCACACACAGCAGGCAAACATTATTCTACTGTACTACAATCCCCAGCCATAGTAGTTCTGTTATTTATTTATTTATTTGTGCTGGTACTGAACTAAGGGTCTTGGGCTTTTGTTCAGCTTTGTCCCTCCATTCATTCAGAAACCATTATGGAGCACCTGCCAGGTGCCCACAGCAGGATGACACTGTCAGAGAGGATACAGCAGCAAATAAAAGAGAGAGGTTCAGCCTTCCTATGCAGATCTTCCATTTCACCATTCTGGATTGAACAAACAGCAGCTTCCCCTTTACTGAAACTTATGTTCATGTGTTCCTTCTGGATGAGTCTTGCAGAAAGCTTGATGCCCATGGACAGCGAGGTGCAGAATAGGACCAGGCTTAGACACAAGTCGAGGGCTTGAAGGGTCAGGTGGTACTCTTCATAGTGGGGCGGATCCACGCAGACCTATGGGAATTTTGCATATGGAAAAGGGAAGGCAACAGCATAGCCCAGGTAGTTGACCCCCACCATACCTGTCAGTGAGGAGAAACAGTATGGGCCCAGCAGAGCGGACTCCAAGCTTATGGTAAAATGAACTGGGCATCCCGTAATGTTCAGAATCACAAAGGTGAGGCTGGCTTTCCAATGAAAATGAAGCAGAAGGAAACTTACTTTGATGCAGATAGGAATATAGTGACATGAAGCGGGGAGGGGGGAATCTCCACTCCCAGCTTTTTGCTGACTAATTGCAGATAAGACTTTCTCAGGTTTGTCTGCCTGAGCTGGCTCCAAACCATGATCATCAGATTTCAGCCTCCTGATCAGCTAGGATTACAGGGATGAGCCACCAGTGCTGGCTCAGAAGCTACATTTTAACCAGGTCTCTGAGTGATTAGCATTGTAGATTGAGAAGGACAGCTTTAGCTAAGAACAAAGTCATCAGATAAAGCTGTGCTTGTACATCATGATCATTCTATTTATTACCTGGTGTTAGAATGTTGAAACATCAAGATGTGAAGGGGAGAGGGAGGAGAGGGACAGACAGACAGACAGACAGACAGAGACAGAGACAGACAGGAGATCTGAGTCTGAGTTGAGATATAAAATTACATTATTAAGGGCTGATGGTGTAGCTTAAAGTGCCTTAAAAAAAAAAAGAGCAGGTGAAGTCCTGAATCAATCCCCAACATCACACACACACACACACACACACACACACACACACATTAAATGTAATTTTAAAATGATTGAGAACAGGAGCCTAAAGATCCATTCTTTCAAAATGAAATCCAGGAGCACTTACACTGGCTCTGCCTTCCCAGAGGCAATACAAATCAAAGGAAACTTATAGAAATTGTTTAGAGGAGGAATCAGATAAAACTCATTCCTTTAAAATTCAGTTTATTACTGAAATCCATCATAGCAAGGTCTCAATTAGATCAAATTCCTTTATAACTGGAAATCATATTGTCTGTGTCCCATCCTAAATTAGTAGTGATTTGACCTTCAGATGCCCCCTGCCATCCTTGCCTGGTGTCCATATATTTATCAAGTGCCTCTGGGTCCATTCTTTGTGGACCAATAGTAAAAGTCCACCAGCTGTGATCACCTGGGGAAAGAAAATGGGAAAAATAATATTCACAGTCCAAGCAACATCGGTCTCACAGTTGCACAACTTTGTCATGAAGAAGAAGGAACCGCAGGTCACTGGATGGCTTTGTGGGTCCACTCTCCTCATCAGAGGAAAGGCAGGCATGGCCACAGAGCTATGGTTCACTGCCGCTCAATGCTGGAGTCTCTGGATTGCCTTTGGTGTAGCCATCACAACCCCTGCTACTACAAGGCGGAACATTTAGGGATGTCTAGTTTTCATCTTCCTCACAGGTCCTTAAAATTGGCACCAGGAGCTGTTGGAATAGACTTTTCACCAGACACTCAATCCCTCCCAGTGGCTTCGTCTTCTGAGACTTTTTTTTTTTTTTTTTTTGAGATTCCAGAGCTGCAACCTGCAGGCAGGATGCAAATACTCCTCCATGTCTCAAATAACAAAGGTTATCATTAGAATGCATGCACCAAGTGGTGATTATTGCTGTGCCTATAGCCCTGTCTAGCTTTGTGGAAAAGGTTTTCTTTATAGTTACCATTGAAGGACAAGGCCCAAGGTGCAGAGGGTAAAGAGTTCAGCCCAGTGGGTAGTTCAAGTCTGTTATCCTAGCTACTCAGAAGGCTGAGATCTGAAGATCAAGATCATGGTTAGAAGCCAGCCAGGGAAGAAAAGTCTGAGGGACACTCATCTCCATTAAATACCCAAAAAAACTGGAAGAGGTGCTGTGGCTCAAGTGATCGAGTACTAGCCTTGAGCAAAAAGAAGCTCAGCGACAGCACTCAAGCTCTGAGTTCAAGTTCCAGAATCAGAGTGTGTGCGCACACATGCGCACGTGCAAACACACACACACGAGTTCACAAGCATTCACAGAATGTCACCAGAATTGAGCAATAGAGGAGAGAGAGGGGGAAAGGGAGAGAGAGAGAGGAGGGAGGAAGGGAAGAAGAAAGGAAAAAAAGGGAGGAGGAGGGGAGAGAGGGAGGGAAGAAAGAAGGAAGGAAGGAGAGAGAAAGATAAAGGAATGAAACAGAAGTCTCTGAGCTCATTGATGATTTGACACCAAGCCTGCTGAAGTAGACCACTAAAAATCATGGAGACTAGAATTTGCTATTCCCAATCCATGATACTGGTTTTCCTTTTCTTTTTTCCCCTGCTCTCTAGTGAAGTCTTTAAGGTTGAGAGAGTAAACTAGAAAGAGGAATACTGAAAAGAAGATGTTGAATGTGGACAGCTCTCAAAGTAACACAGTGTTGGGTTTTGACAGAAAAATGCACATGAGTGTATGCATAGTGTTGTAACGGAACTCAGTGGTGAGAAACAGAGAAGCCAACATTTGAGGCCACATTGTGAGTCTTATTGAAGAGCCAGAAGACTGCTGGTGGACTCTTATTTCAAGGACCAGCAGCCCAGAATGCAGCTAGCCCAAAGCTTATATAGGCCAAAACCACACATAGGTGTGAAGAATTAAACCCAACCAAAGCGTTATATATCAGCAAAGCAAACCAGGTAAGCACACTTAAACCTAACAGAAGTGTTAAATGAAAGCAAACCATCTAGGGAAACGATCAGGAGAACTCAAGGGCTAATTATCTAGGAAGCATAGACCCAATGTCCTTACTTCAATAGTATCAACAAACCCAAACTGGTCCCACCAGCACAGTTTGGGGGTATGCTTACTTTGGTGGCTCTACATTTAGCATGTTCATTGTTTGATAACTTAGCTTTTCATTGCATTGACATATTTTATTTTGAAAGCTGCATTTAGAGAATTTGGGGACACACACACACATTCACGCTCACACAAAATATACTTGTAGACACAAGTTGTTGAACCGGAAATCCTGACTGGGCAAAGTCATCCCATAATACTTCCATGGATAAAAATGTAGTCTAGAAAGTTCCTGGTTTGTGTTTGCAAGAGGAAAGTTTTCAGGGGACCCTATGGAGGTCGAGCCAGCAAAAATAGTACAACCAAACAGGCGGGTTAATAAGAGCAATTCACTGGTGCTTTCTGGTGAGCCAGGGGCTGGTCCCGGCTCCCAGCCCTTGATTGACAGATGGTCCTGTCACTAGGCAGAGAGCATGAGGAGGCTGGCTCCGCCCCTCGGCCGCTGAGCTTGGCTTAGACAGCAGGCCTCAGCAGATGCTGAGGTGCCAGGTTGCCTTCCTGAGGCTGGCATGGGCCATTTCTTTCCTTTCACATGTTGGAAAGGGCTGCAGAATCACAGTTGCTTGTTAATTCGGCTGTGGCTGCCAGCTTGAATTTTGCTTTGTTTACATATGCTTGGAGAAAAGATTTTTCAGGGAGGAGGCATTGGATGAATGCAGCTCAGTGATTTGCAAAATCCATACTGCCCTAGGTGAACCCGCCCATGTTGGCTAGTGCCCTGCCTCGCTGGGGAGGGAAATGTAAGGTGTGAACGCCAAGAGTCACAGAGAGTCCCTTATCTTATCCCTCTGTTTTGCCTCTGTGTGTGTGTGTGTGTGTGTGTGTGTGTGTCTGTGTGTGTGTGTGTGTGTGTGCGTGTGTGTGTGTGTCTGTCTGTCTGTGTGCACACGCTGACATTAGAGATTGAACTCAGGGCCTTGCATTCCTCTTCTGGCTTTTTGCTGGTTATTTGGAGATAAGAGTCCCACAGACTTTCCTGCCCAGGCTGGCTTTGAACCGTGATCCTCTGATCTCAGTTTTCTGAGTAGCTAGCATTACAGATGTGAACTCCCTGCCCCTGGCATGCGCTCTCTCTCTCTCTCTCACTCTCTCTCACTCACTCAATCTCTCAATCTCTCTCTCTCTCTGCAGGACCGGAATTCTAACTCAGGGACCTTGTTGATGCCCACTTCCATTTTTCTAGATTCTGTTTTTCGATAGAGAAAGGGAAGACAATGACAAAGGAAGAGGTTTGAGAGTAAGAAAATCAAGGGGGGGGGAAGAAATTTGAGAGAGGGTGTGTGGGAGAGGTGACAAGTTGGACTCCAAACAGTGAGGCTGTGGAGGATGGGGGGGGGGGGGGCAGACTGGGTACCCAGCAGTCCGTGGCCAGTACCTGCGCCCTCAGCCTGTCTCCATGCAATCCGCTTGCTCTCTGGGCATGCGCACTGCCTGACTTGGGTTTTACTGCTTACACTTTGATCGCGTGGTGAGTTGAGCCTCTTAGAAGTATTTAAACTGCAGAAGGACGCAGACTCGCTTGAAGGATGCAGGCAGCAGTAACAACTTCAAGAGAAAGAGAAACTTTTAAAAGCATCATATTAATATGGAAATTTTTTTTTCATTTGCAAGCATCTATTGGGGCCCCAAGACTAACAAGCAAACAAATCTCACGGCTCCCCTGAATGAGCGCCTTACATCTGCCCAGCACTGGATTAAATGCTCAGCCTGAGTTGGCAGCCCTCAGAAGGAGCCTCCACTTTTCAAATGAGGCACAGACAGGCTAAGATACCCACGAGCATGATTAATCATCCACCAGACACGGCTCCAATTCTCATTGGAAATTACAGTCTAGTTCTGAAAATAATGCACATAAAAGAATTTTCACATAAGCCAGGAGCCAGGGGCTCAAGTCTCTAATCCTAGCTACTCAGGAGGCTGAGATCTGAGGATCACAGTTCAAAGCCAATCGGGGCAGGAAAAACTATGAAATTCTTACCTCTAATTAGCCATCAAAAAAAAAAAAAAAAAGAAAAGAAAAAAAGTGGGATGTGAAGTAGTAGAGTATCACGTAGTAGAGTATCAGCCTTGAGCAAAAAAGCTAAGAGACAGAGCCCAGATTCCGAGTCCAAGCCCTTGTACTGGAACACACACACACACACACACACACACACACACACACACACACACACACACGAATATCCACACAATTAGGCAATGAGTGTTCTTCACATGACATGAGCTTGGATGGCAAGATCCCACTTCCTGGAAAAAATAGTGAAGAAAGCACCCAGGGAAATAAATTCTGAAGCAAGTTTGGAGGATGGGAAGTACTTCAGTAGTCAGCGACAAATCAAGGGCAGTCCAGGCTATGGGAGCAGAATATGCAAAGGTCCTGGGGGTATCCTGCTTGGTGAACAGGCAGGAAGAAGCTCCGACTTCCAGCAGGAAAAAAAAAATCTATGTGACATCAGGGGAAAGAAGACCTCAAAAGTATGCTGGCATGTGTGGATTTTGTTGAGAGGTTATGAAACACCAAGAGCTATGGAAGAAAGCACTAGCCTGACTACTAAAACAGGTTTAGAAAGATGATGTCCGTATGGTATGCATGTGGAGATGGGAGTGGAATAGGGCCTTTGGGTCACTCTCTTCCTTTTTCTTCCTCCTTCCTTCTCCTCCTGTTCCTCCTCAGCCTTCTTTTCTTCCTCTTTTCTTTCTTTCCAGTTCTGGGGCTTGAACTCAGGGTCTGGCCACTATCCCTAAGCTTTTGTGCTCAAGGCTAGTGCTCAATCACTTTCAGCTCTTTTGGTAGTTAATTGGAGATAAGAATCCGGCCCTGGCTGGCTTTGGACAGTGATCTTCATAGCTCAGCCTCCTAAGCCTCCTCACAGGCGTGAGTCACCAGCTCCTGTCTCAGACATCTTCTTTTAACTCTACTTATGACAAGAAATACATTATGCAACGTGGCCCAGTTAATACATCCATGATGTCTAGCAAAAAGAATGCTTTCTTATGTATGATCATGAATGTTCACCCGCCCTGTTCTATTCATTATAAATGCTGGCTGATAGACTGGGCTTATACTGAACTACATCTGACTGTAGAAGCAAGGTCCATGTGGGGTCTGAGCCAGGGAGGGAAGTGTGGGGAAGGAAATTATGAGCAGGAAGAGAAAGAGACTCAGCCACGTGCCTCCTGGGAAAATCCAAAGCCACAGGGCAGCTCCTTGGGCTGAGCTGGATGTGTTAGGGCACTGCTACCTACATCCCAGTCTAATGGTCAGCAGCATGATTTCCACTCAGAACTCCTTAGCTGTGGGCAAACACAGGTTCCACCCAGACCTACTGAATTAGAA